TTTAATATTAAATAAAAAGCCAGCTTTTGCATTAAATAATTCAATGTGAGTTGATGATGTGCCTCAAGAGCTACAAGAACTTACGTTATCAGAACAAAAATTGATTGCTTTAGTAAATGTTCTTTATCTATATATATAGTAGACTATATTTCTATACTTTATAGTATCGTCATTCAAGTTGTGTGATTAAATTATTTTCTATTACATGTGACCCTTCTTTAGCACAGACAGCATTGAAAGGCAATGTTATAACATTCCCTCAAAATGTATCAAAGATTGCAAGATCTCTTCCATTATCATCAGATGAATTGTCACAATTTATTAAAATCATCTTTATGGGAAAATCACTACCAAAGAAAGATCAACTACGTTCAATTCTTACAGTACGTTGAGAAATAATTCGAAAAACGCTTATATGATTATGTAAGAATAATATTTTATATAAATATATACATATTGATCATTTGTTAATTGATACATTACCGATAAATGACATACCTGATTGCTTATGGAATGCTCTATCATTAGTTGATGAATCTGAAAGTCAAAATGCTGAACATTCTGGTTATATTAATAATTATATTGATTCCAATGATTTACCTGAAAACGAAATAATTTCATTAAATACAAGTGCATTGATAGATACAGATGGTGGTGCTACATCATCTATTGATATCAGACGACATTTAGTAAGATGGATAAGTATTATCAGGGAAGTTGTAGCTAGTGATAATAATATATATTTTATACTACATGGTAAACATCCGGTAAATGAATATTTCAATACAGCATTTTTATCAGGTTTGAAAATGCTAATCATCGCTACATATAGATATATTTAAATAGTCTAAATTTTTTGTAGAAGTTTATATCCAACTTTATTTCCTTATGGTATGGGTGGTGTCGAAAATGAATGTCGACAAGTGCGTGTCACCTATGCAAAACATATTCAATATTTTTTGTCGTATCATGATTACCGTTTTGAAATGAACACTTCATTTATGTTTGTAACGTTTAATATTTTATAACGACGCACAGCATGTGCAAAAGCATGTATACTTGTATCAAGATCATATTTTACTTCGCAATCTGTAGAAATCAATCAGTTAACATCAGCTGAAATTAAACTAGCTTTAAGTCAAATAGAATT